CCAAAAAGATATAAACCTAACCCAACAGTAAGCAAGTTAATTTTAAGGGAGTACCCTCTTGAATAATAAAAGCTGTGCAGAAAAAAGAAGAGCAGTTTCCTGAGGCATTTTGCAGGCTCATTTACTATGTCAATTTACATGCAAGAGTAACACATTTAGCTGTGCTTACTCAGCATAAAGGTGTATGGTGGCAGTCAGAGTCCCAGGAAATTAAGCAGGACAATGGAAGAGCAATATTAGATGGTATGGCCACATATGGTGCCATCAATACATCAATAGGTTTAGTCACACTTTTTGTCATCAGAGGGTAAGCCACCCATTTCAACATTAAATGGCTGTCACTTTTACTTTGCAGGGTTATCCTGTGCTGGATCACTGGAAAGATCTCTGAACAAAGTCGCAGAGTTTGGCTTATTTATTCACAATTTGAAGTGCTATGAAGAGAGTAGGAAAATTTGAATTGAGTACACTGAAATTAGTTAGGCAAATGTTCTTTTGTCACAAATTATTTCTCAAGCACTGCCCGAAGATGTTATATGCTGAATGTGCACAAATTATACATAAATAACATACCCTTGAAGATGCACCCACGTTAAAGCCAAGTTATTTTTCTGTATTTTATATTTCAAGAAGCAATCTGTGTGTCACAGAAACTAGAGATGGGTGCAGTCTTTGAAGTCATCTTATCCACCCTCCTGTTAATCCAAGTCTGTTCCCTGAAGAATATTCTTAAGTGTTTCAGCTTGTCTAGTGTTACACAACTGTAACAGTGGAGCTTCAAGTCCATTGGGAGGCTGGGGTATAGCACAGTTAAGTGTATTTCTCTAACACCCAACCTAAAATTTTTGTTTCCTAAAGGCATTCTGCTATTTCTAGTTATACTGTCTTGGATCTACCTACAGTTCTGGGAACCATTAAAATCCTAATCAGTTCTTCCCTCTCCTTCCCTGCATAATTTCAAATATAGACTCATCATGTTCTCCCTGTCCTTTGTCTTTTTTGTAGCCAAGAATGACATTGTTTTCTTAATTTTTCCTTACAAACCACTTCTTCTGGCACAAAAATAATTCTTGCTTTGCTCAAAAATATCTCTAACCTGTTTAATAGTTTGTGAGGTTTACAAAAACAAGACTAAATTTCAAGGCCTATTAGAGGCTTTACTTCTTTTCATGTTCAGGGTGTGTGCACTTACACTTTGTGATGCAGGGATCCTATTATATACTCAGTTTCTACTTGCTGGGAACCTAAATTTCACTGGTACCACTAAGACATCTAAAATACCATCCAGCCATCTTGAAGCCTGTAGTGTTGTTACGGCTTTCTGGGAATTTCTATCAATTCAGTATCATGCTTCTTTTTCCTTTTTTTAATATTCATTAAGTCTTCTATTTCTGTAGACTTACTCTTCAGTGTGCTTAACACCATAACCTTTGAAACCAAGCATAAGCTTAATTTTCAAGTGGGCCAAAAGGCATGGCAGTTCTCCAGCTCAGACCTTGAAGATTGTTTATGCTTGTTTCCTCAATGATTTTAATAACCTTTGTATTTTTGTATTAGTTGTTTCAATAACTCCAATACTCTTTCAGTCTCATTTCAGTGTGTGACTAAATGAGTATTAGGTTACACAAGAGTCCAAGACACGCAGTAAGACTCTTCTTTCCAAGCAGGAAATTTTTCGTCACTAGAGTTGTTTGCAGTTTTTACTTGATGTTTGGCTCATGCTTGTGTCAGACCCACTAAAAGTGGAAAATGTTGTAAATAGGGTATGTGAAAAAATATAAAACTTGTCAAAATCTTCTTGTTGCCTTTACAGCATTTCTGTTCAAACAGCTATCTGAAGATTCTCTGCAGATACCAGTACATGCCCTCAATGATATACTGGTTTAATCAAATGACTGTTTTCTGGTTGCAAGAATAGAACTCTAATCCTCTTTTCTTTAGTCTAAATTCAAGTGTTTTATTTCTCATCCTGAATAAATAGCTTCTGACTGAAATCTTGAATTTTTGCCTGAGATCCTAATACTGTTTATAAGTATTTGACTAAGATAAATTGTGCCTATCTGTGCCTAATGAAGCACTAACCAGACTAAATGATAAATGGCAGTTCAATCAATTCAGTTCATTCGGTAACCAGCAGAAGCATATGGAATGTAAATTTTAACCTCTTTTGTAAACACCTGAACTGTTCTAAAATTGGACTGGAACTGTACTTTCAAAAGTTTTCTCTACTTTACAATGCCTAAGGAGAAACTTTGCTTAATATACCGATGCTTTGGGATGTGGAATTAGAAAATAGTGATGCTTGTTTAATTTTCTTCTTCAAGAAATTTAACTATAAGCTCTCATTGTCCTGCAATGTAAAATTATTTCATTAGCATTAGAACAAGGGTTAATGGGTTCAAACTTAAACAGGGGAAGTTTAGGTTGGATATATGGAAGACGTTCTTTCCTGTAAGGGTGGTGAGGCACTGGAATGGGTTGCCCAGGGAAGTTGTGAATGCTCCATCCCTGGCAGCATTCAAGGACAAGCTGGACAGGGCCTTGGGCAACATGGTCTAAGGTAAGGTGTCCCTGCCTATGGCTGGGGGAGGTTTGAACCTGGTGATCTTAAGGTCCTTTCCAACCCTAACTATTCTATGATTCTGTGATTCTGTGATTCTATTCAGTAGTGGTCATAGCCTTCAGAAATGAGTAAAGTATGTGTTGTCTGCTGATAATTGTAGTTAAGTAGTATCTATAAATACTCAGCTCTGGCCTTGGTGAAAATATGCAATCAATTTTCATTAAGTTGTTTTATTCTAGAACCAATTCCTTACCAATATATGCACTCATATCTGTAAAATTAAATGCTACTTTCTGAATGCATCATCAGGATGCATAAGCAATAAAAAGGTATATAGTTACTACATTCCAAATAATTTCTTCCGTGAAACAAATTTAAATTATAAGTTATTGCTGGGATTTTGTGTACAGAAACACAACTCTGAATTTCAGGGAAAGGTGCTGTCATAGTTAATTTTCCAAGTTCTTGGTTCATTTTGTTATATATTTGGGGTTATTGAATCAGCATTTGGTTTGGGTGAAGGGATTTTTGTGTGGTTTCATACAGAGACATACAGCATGTAGGTGTTTGCATGCGGAAGTTGTAGAAAAATGTATGTAGCAAAATGTAATTGAACAAGTTAAAATAGACATTTAAATTGGTAGCCAAGGGTGGTATTTTCTCTTAAAATTATTTTTGCTGAGGGAGCAAGCAGCTCCTGAGCTTTCTTCAACCAGAAAGAATGCAGGTGGAAGTTTGTGATTTGTTTCACTTTTCAGATGAAGAAAGTCCACAGGTTATCTGACATTTGAATTAGAGTCACAGCAGCTTTCCTATACTTTTGAACACCTATCCTTTGTGTTGTACTTAGGATGTCTCAGATGTGAGGTGGGCTGATGCCAACCTCATGAAACTTAACTATGACAAGTGCAAGGTCCTACACCTGGGTCGGAGCAGTCCCAGGCACAGCTACAGGTTGGGCAGAGAAGAGATTCAGAGCAGCCCTGGGGAGAAGGATGTGGGGGTGCTGGTCAATGAGAAAATGAACATGAGCCAGCTTCAGTGTGCGCTCGCAGCCGAGAAAGCCAACCGTATCCTGGGCTGCATCAAAAGGAGCGTGACCAGCAGGTCGAAGGAGGTGATCCTGCCCCTCTACTCTGCTCTTGTGAGACCTCACTTGGAGTATTGTGTGCAGTTCTGGTGTCCTCAACATAAAAAGGACATGGAACTGTTGGAACAATTCCAGAGAAGGGCCACGAGGATGATCAGGGGACTGGAGCACCTCCTGTATGAAGACAGGCTGAGAAAGCTGGGACTGTTCAGCCTGGAGCAGAGAAGGCTGCATGGAGACCTCCTAGCAGCCTTCCAGTATCTGAAGGGGACTTATGAGGATTCTGGGGAGGGACTCTTCATTAGGGACTGCAATGATAGGACAAGGCGTAATGGGTTAAAACTGAAACAGGGGAAGTTTAGATTGGATATAAGGAGGAGATTTTTTCCTGTAAGGGTGGTGAGGCACTGGAATGGATTGCCCAGGGAGGTTTCAAATGCTCCATCCCTGGCAGTGTTCAAGGCCAGGTTGGATGAAGCCTTGGGTCAGATGGTTTAGTGTGAGGTGTCCCTGCCCATGGCAGGGGGTTGGAACTAGATGATCTTAAGGTCCTTTCCAATCCTAACTATTCTGTGATTCTATGATTTTTTCCCTCTGATTTCCCAGTACTTCTTAACTGAGTGGAATGAGGGGGACTCATGGGAAGCACCCTTTGAGAGATACCATGAACAGGAGCACTAGTGGGGTGGCTGTTACAGCAGGAAGAGACGGGAGTCTAGCTGCTCAGCCCATTGCAGCACCTCTCAGCCAGAGCTTCTGGGAGATGGGGTCAGCAACCCCCAGAGCTATGGGCTTTGAGTTTCCTTCTTTTATGCTATAAAAATAGGGAAGAAGAAAGCCCAAGTAAGCCCATCCCTGAAATCACCTGTATTTGGGCAGTAGCTCAGTTGAGTGGCTGTGAGCAGCCATATGCCTTTTTCCTTTGTACTCGTCTTTTTCCAGATCTTCCTCCTATGCCAAGCCCTTGAAGTTTGCCTCTGTGCCGTAGTCCTGTTCCCATTCAGCATTCTTCCAAGGGTGCTCTCTCACTGCCGTTCCCACATCCTGTTGCTTGGGAAGCACTCGTACAGAGACCAGCTACTGTGCCCTTATAGGTCTCAACAGCTACCAGCTGTAGTCCTGCTACCTCTACACTTGCCTTCAAACACATGAGAAGCATGCGTACATATACATTGTTTTTAGTAAATGTGCATGCTTGTCCTTCAGCCTGGCACTGATTTAAAAAAAATAAGTAAATAAGTATTATTTAAATCTTGGTAATGGAGACAGAGCCATTGTTGCTGCCCATTTAATCTTTAACAAGTCTTTCTAACATTGCATACTTTCTTTTTCTTTTTTCCTCTGTAGGGGAGTGGGTTGTATCTTTGTAGAAATGATTCAAGGGGTCGCTGCTTTTCCAGGAATGAAAGACATTCAAGATCAACTTGAAAGGATATTTCTGGTGAGTACTTTATTGCTGAAGTAATGTCCAAGATAACAAAGGATTGATTTATAAATGTTCACATATTTCTTTGTGTCAGGAATTAAACCACTGACAGAGCCAAGGATCAGAAGTCTAGTCCACAAGCTAGATAAAAGTTACTTCTTGTAGTTTTGAAGACTGTGTAATAAGTTCAGATCCTAATTTTTTCAAATAATCTACAGAAAGGTTTTTATACGGTTGTGGAAAAAGCTCTCCAAATATAAGGCAATGGAAATCCAGCCAGTTTGTCATCCTCAATTTGCAATTGATCATCAAACCCAGCTACTCTGGTTGGTGCTCTATTGATGTTATGCTAAAATTATGATGGCAATGGCAAGTATTTTTTTGTGAGATAGACACGGAAAAGTAAGATGGGAAATGAGGTGGGAAACAGAATCGGAATTCATAAATTGTGCTGCTACACAAGCGCAACAGGAAGCCTTGACTACTGCTTCTGCTGCCTGGTTGGGCCCTTCATAATATGTATGGGTAGCTCATAGGCACTGAAGACACATCCACATTGGGAGTGAAAGAGGATGTAATTTATAACAAGCATAAACCATCATTTACACATTTCTTTGTGTGTTTCTTTTTAACTTGTTCTTTCTCCCGTTGTGCTGTGGGTTTGACAGTTCCCTTTCAAAAGCTCAGGAACAACTTGACTCCCCAATAAAAGGTTTTGTTTCCTCCAGCGCCTGCTGAGAACTGTGTTGTAGTGGAGTGGGTTTATTCAGGGAAGCCACTGCTCACCCAGATACTAGTCAAAGTGGCTTCTGGTACTGTGGGGTGGCCATCAGGGAAAGCAGCTTCTTTCTTCAACCTGACAATGTCTGGTTTGCTTCTGACCACACATTTAGAAGGGGAGGATGAACATACCCTTGCTTTTAACAGTTATTTTGTTAGGAGTCATTGATTTTAAATGCAAAGGGGTTTTGGGGATTCTTTTTTGGCCTATGGAGAGGGGAAAACCAAATATCTTTCATAATGTGCTTATAAAAATTACATTATTCATTTTACTCAGACTTGCTTGTATTGTGTCTTTTGTTGGGACACCAGGGAATTTAGCAACTTCTTTTAGGAATGACTCAGAAAAAAGTACCTCTCTAAACGAAGACCTTATTTGATTGTGGTATAAAAATACTTCATTTTCTGTAAAATACTTTGCTATTCTGCCTGCTTGGCTAATACCCTGAAAATTCTGTGCTGTGGAAAAATAGCTGTGCTGCAGCATACACAAGGAGCAGCAATTGTGAGCAGTTCCTGTGACGTGTCTAATTGCTTCGATTGCTTGCCAGCTCGTGTATTTTAAGCTAGCAACTCCTGGGCCAGTTTCAGGGTTTTGTTTTCTTAAATTCTTCTCATTTATTGGGATGAAATTTCCTCCTTATTTATAGAACATGACATTTTCAAAACAATAAATTCCTCTTTGGGGCTTCGGGTCATTTACTGTGGTAAAATTTTAGTTAGTGTTTTTGCTATGGAAATTAAGCAGAGTTCTAACAGCAGAAATCAGCACTTCCTTTACTGGGGCCTTTTTGCACTGTATCGTAAGAGATCATACGATACAGTGCAAAAAGTGGACGTAATAGGTATACACATATGCCTATTTTTGTATGCCTTTTGTAAACCTTTTGGATATTCCCATTTTCTTTTCTCTTACCTACCCTTGCAGTTATTTGGGTCTTAAAATGCCGAAAGAAATACACCTTAGGAAGAGATTTGAGGCCTGCCGGTTTTTTAATTGTGTTTTAAAACTTCTGCTGCAAATACTGAGAATGGTGTTGAAATAACAAGGGATAATATCCTGATACTGTTTCTTTAATTTGATCTTTTACAAACCTTCAAATAAAAAGATAAAATTTAGACAGGATAGTTTTATGGTCCGTTGTAAATCAGAGTGAATTTTTAAATCCTGATTAATTAGGCTTGCTAATGAAAGTGTCTAGTTACCCTTAGCTAAATAGTTTCAATGACTGCCTTCCTAATGTACTCTAAGCATCATTAAGAATTAAAGTTATCCATTTAAAAGTTATAAAACAGGATTATTCTTGTTTGGTTTTGTATTTGAACAGAAGGATTAAATTCATTCATTCTCCAGTGGATCATGTGGTATGGTAGTTAATAGTGCTGAAGTACAAAATTAATCAGGTTGTTACACCAGATAACTAATGTAATTAACTGCCACACAGTGAGCACTTACACAGCTGTGAAAGAAACAGATCAACCAATTAAAGACTTTTCCACAAAGTCTTCTCATAGTTTACATTTTCAATGTCCAAGAGTGATGCTTTTCTTGTAATAAAGGTTAGTCTTCTGAAAATGGTATAAGGTACAGTCCACCTTCATACTAATCCATTTGTCCTGTAGTCCTCTTCTGAAATACACAACTTGCAACAAAAGGTATGTGTTGTATTTGTTGCCGTTGTTATTAGTCATACTTACACATCCATAGCACATATGATTCCAGGTTGCAGCTTGAGGCTTTTAGGGAATCAGTTACATTCCATTAGGAAACTCACAAAATGCTAAGAAAGAAGAGTTAGGAAATGTGAACTGAATTTAATGTGATTAACAGTTCAAAATTTTTTGATTTCCTATTGTATAATTTCAGATTATTACATAAATTAAATTAAACAACGTTGCATGTATGCGGTTTCAGTGGAGGTCAAAGAGAGATTGTCTAAATGCTTTTGTATATCTCTGCCATTGGCATTTTTCACATATCTTCATAGCAAGAGTAGATGCAATCCAGCACACCACATATGTTTCTTCCTCATTACAACTGATATTTATTTATGTTTAATAATGACTTAAGTGGTTGTATACAGTAGAGTAAGAACAGAGATTGATCTTTCAGTTTTGTTTAAGAACTTTTCTCTTTATGCTTGTGTTTCCTGACTTCCATCACTTCAAACATGTGTTTTTTTTAAATGGTAACATACACTGATTCTCTATTTCTGTTACAGCTGCTGCTTATAATAATCACTCTCAGGTTCCATTACTGCGGTAGGCCTCAACAAAATAGCAAAGGTTTATAAACCTGAATATATGCTCAGAATTGGACCAGCACTTAGAGATGTGGATGAATAAGCAAGCTGCATGTTGTTACAGTCACACTTGGGATATGACAATATCCTGCCTATGCTTAAAACTGTGAATAATCTCTTTAAAAAAATCTGTACTTACCAAAGATAATGGAAATCACATGTATAAGTAGGTTACTTTTTCAAAGTTTAACAGTGAATAAAATGTCTTAATGCAGAGGTGATTTGGTTTAAACAGTTTACCATTACCTCTTTACTCCTACTTTTTTTCCTACTTATTGGAACTGAGGTAACTTTCCAGATAGAACTGCATCATAGAAAATGAGAGGGAAAAGTCTTTATTTAATTACAGTCTGTAAGACCTAACAAGTCTTTTGTCTTGAAGTATCAAACTAGTGGTGTGCCATCATCATTTCCAGCACAACTGAGAAGATCCAGCACTGTTTTGCCATTCTCTGAGACATGCAGCTTGAGGTTTTGTAGCAAGGTGCTAGGTCTTATGGACCAATAATCTGATACAGTAGTCTCAGCATTTCTATTTAGTCTTGTAAATACATGCATGAGACAGGATGAAGCTTCGATGGAGTATACATTAAACAGTAAAACCATGGGAATAGGAAAAATATGTGAGGCAATCTGTTGAATCAAAATAAAACTACATGAAAATTGAGAAATATCATTTGGCTTCTGATAGCCCTGTACTGAGGAGAATTGACAGCTCCTTGGATCTGGTGATATTCAGCATGAATTAGTTGAATGTTAAAGCTGATTACACTGAGAAGCCTGCAGTATGCCTGTGCATGCCTTATGCTGAGCCACACTGGAGGTACCAACTTGGTTATAGCTGTGATTTTGATATAAAGATGTGCTTTTATACTTGCTGTTTTAACAGATTCAGACCAGATCAGAGTTGAATTTCCTATCCTAGCTTCATTTTTCTTCTGGAGAGAATTTTTTAAGTGGGGAGGAATTTCTGTCTTATCCACTTTACATGAAGTTTCTGAGAGCCACTATAGATCAAAGTGAATTTTCCTCCTGGGCTCTGAAGCCTTCCCGATAAGGGAATAATCTGTGCGTTGGCTGAACTTTAGTCTTGGTGCCAAAACTACACTGAAAATTACATTTCACTGCAAGAATAAAGTACAAAGATTTCTCCTGATACTGTGCAGATCTCTGCACAGGCAGGACAACAGCATTTAAATGCTGTTTTATCTGTAAATAGGCATTCACTCTGCAAGCACAGCTGTGGGATGTGTGTGCGCTGCAGGAGCATCACGCTGCAGGTAGCATGGCACAGCAGGAGTGGGAGCTTGCAGCCAGAAGCTTCTGTCTTTCTGACATGCATAGCACAAAAAGCTGAGGACTCCTCTCTGGTATTGCTCTACTGGGTGCCATAATGCACAGTATTGAAAAGTAATTAAAAGAGAAAAGCATCCATTCGTTGGGCCCAGCACCCTTGTATGCCAAAGGGCAACACCACAAATGCTAGTTTCCTGAATGGAGCTGTACAGCAAATACTCTCAAGAGTTTGCAGTTTCAGACAGCTGTGAAAAATGGCATTTTCCTTTTAAATGCAAATGGAAGTGTTATTTCTGTTACTGAAGATTTAAAAGGCTAGCAATATTTTTTCTTTTATAAATATACACATACATATATGTATGACTACACGCCTGAAGTCTATTGTATCATATAATACAGTCTGGTAGTGTTTCCTCCATGACTCTAATGTTAACAGGCATTTGTGAAGCTGTAGAGCTTTCTCCCTGTGGTTCTTTATCTGAAGGTCTGCTTCATGTCACTGACATCCTCTAAAGCCTGAAATAATACATTTTAATGGGCCTTACTTTTGTTTAAGCTTACAATGGACCCAAAGGAACCACGCTTTCTGATATGTTGTGTTAAGAACATCTTTTGGGAAGGTAGCAATGCTAAACC